GTGTCTTTTTGTCCATAATCATGCCCTATTCAAATAAACTGTAATGATGAATTAGTGATGTATCTAAGCTAAAATAAATTGTAAATGTGGGATTTTTCAGCCTGATTCCTCTCCTCTCACTTACATTTTGTTCTCAATTTTTTTTTCAAATTTATGAAAATGCTTCAAGACTTCATTTGAGTAATGAAAAGCATAAGTGATTATCTATCTCCTGAAGAGCATGGGTATTTTCCTACCTGAATGTAGCAGTTGGGTCTTCTCTTTCTTAACAAAGCAGTGTTTTTCTGAGGACCCTGATGTGGACACTCACTTCACTGTATAAAGGTCTCACAGTTTGCTTTTCAGCGGTGTGATGAAATCCAGTGCAACATCCTTATTCTATTTGCTCTAAAACGCAGCAAAATTCACCTTGCCGTAGGAAGCAGTAAAGGAACAAATGTGGAGCGTGCTGTGTTTTGACCTGGTGTGCCGAGAGCTCTTCCCTGGCTGGAAGGAATGAGAAATCCACTGACACGCACCCCTCGCCTGTACCTACTGGCCATTCTCTGATAGCTGTTTACCCGGGAACAGCGCTCACCACCTGAAACCTCTGTCTGTGAGCTCACAAGCTAATCAGAGCCAGCTATGGACAGTAGTTGGATGGAGGAACTCCAGGAAAAATAGCTTAGGCTGCCATAAGGCATCTCAGTGATTTGTTGGTAATATTGGGCTCTCAGAGAGTAAGGAATCAGTGCCCTGGAGTGGTGCCTGGGAGCACTGTACAGGCAAAGGGCCTTCTCTTTCCATTAAGCGACTTAGGGACTTTTAAAACGGAAATTTGATTCCATATTTAATAATTATTATGGAATATTCTCATGGGTAGATACAAAAATTATCAGCATATCTCTCCAAATAAAAACCAAAGCAAAAACATTTATGTTTCTAGGATATGGGCAAAGTGCTACACTTAGCACAGTGCATGGCAACTAGGAGGTACTCAATAGATATTGTTAAATAAATGGTGCAGGAAGAAACAGTGAGTTCCCACCAATTCACACTTAGCAACAGCAGAGGTCAAAGTTAAAGAAGACTTTGAGTTCCTTCAAATGGAAATACTTCTGGCAGGGAAAGCTGTGTGGTATCACAAAATCAGCTACATTCCGATCCACTGTTCTCCCATGCTTGCAGCTCTGGTCCAGTCAATAAAAGGTACATCTAGGGAAGTTAGAATGCCATTTGGCCCACATTTGGTAACTAAATATGAAAACTGGAGTGAATCTAAATATTGGAAGGAAACCAAACCGTGGGTGACCTGCTGGGCTGGATAGTATTGGAATCATTTGGCTGATGTTGCTAATCAGTCACCATTTGGTTTTGAAATGGAAGCCCAGTAATCAAATAAGTTTAGTAAAATTCCTTGTGTTTACAGAGATCTAGTCAAAATGACTCTATATTTTCCTATTTAAGCATCCTAGTGGAAGTCATGTTTTGCCTTTGTAATTAAATATTTGCTTACATGTGTGTGATGCAGTGTCACTGAATGAAGCAAAAAGCACACATAATTTTTATGGGAATTTCAGTTCAGGTTTTCCTCACTCTCAATGCCCTGAGTTATCAGAAAAATGTATTTGTGTTATTTTGTATCTATTACCTGTATGAGTTGGATTATCAGACTCTGAAAATCTTACTGCGTATGTATAACAAGAATGAGTCCACAGAATGTGAACAGCACTGGGTTAGAAGCAGAATTCTGGTTAAGCATTTACCAGTATTTTCACTTTAGGAATATTACTTAACAATCCTTGGTCTCCTTACCTGAAAAATTAGGAGAATATACCTACTTCCCACCTTACAGGGTTTTTTTGAGAAGAAATCATATATGCTACGATGGCCAATCTAAGCAGAGCATAAAAGTACGAACTTGGAGTTGTGGGGGTTGCTCAGTTTGCACTTGACATTACCACTCACTCTGTGATCTTTGCCAGTAACTTGACCTTAGTTTCCTCATCTGTCAGATGGGGGTATGATAATACCTATCTCACACGCCTGTTGAGAGGATTAAATAAGATGCTATGTAAAGTACTAAGAATCTATGATATGGATAATATTGATGAGCACTTATTGTGTTTCAGATACCTGCTAACATACATGAATGTGTGAGGTGAAGGCCTGATTAGTGTGTTTTTCCATTCCCAGCCTTTGCTCCTATGTGGCCTTGCTTCTACAGGCCATAACCTTATCACGTGAGAGTTCTTACTGATAATTCTTACTGAGGGATAGGGAAGAGTCAATTTACAGGACCTACTGCTCCCTAGAGGAACGCTTCCAGGGTAAGGAACTAACCATGGAAGGAGATCTCTAGCCCAGAGGTTGGATTTGGTGAGCCTCAGAGGAAGCCGACCTATAATTTGCATTCTGGATGCATTTCTTTTAGGCTTTGTCACAAGGGTCCTGGGCTCTAGAAAAGGGAAAGGAAGGAATGAGAAGGAGGAGGCTAGTTATCCATGTCCTTCCTCTCCCTCAAATCAGCCTCCACCTTTTGATTGTCATTTCCCATCTGTTATTTAATTATTATAACTACTTTTTATAAGCCTTATTGCTATTATTAACAGCTAGCATACAGTGAATTCTTACATAGGACATAGTTCATTGACTTACTTATCATAACAATCCTGTGAAGAAGATTGTATTATTATCCTTATTTCATAATTGAGTAAAGTGAAGATAAATCAGAGGATGAAATAATCACTTGAGCTAGCAAGTGGTACTGCTAAGACTCAGACCTGGGGCTATCTGGCTCTGACCCCCTATTTCTAGCTACTATACTACCCTTTGATTTATTTAATGATTCATAACAAGTTCAAATTCAATAAGGCACTTGAGTTCAATATCCATGTGCTATACTTTCTTGTACCTGCCTACCACCCAAAGCAATGAAAAGCAGACACTAGACCAGTGATGGCGAACCTTTTGAGCTCGGCGTGTCAGCATTTTGAAAAACCCTAACTTAACTCTGGTGCCGTGTCACATATAGAAATTTTTTGATATTTGCAACCATAGTAAAACAAAGATTTATTTTATATATTTAAATGCCATTTAACAAAGAAAAATCAACCAAAAAATGAGTTCACGTGTCACCTCTGACACGCGTGTCATAGGTTCGCCATCACTGCATTAGACCATCAGTAAAAGTCACCTTCACCAAGATCTAATACAAGTCTACTCTTTTAATTCTGATAATTTAGCACACTAGGATTTTTAAACAATAGAAACATCTTTAGATCTGTTTCACTTAGAAAAAGCTATGCTAATCTGCACTTTCATTCAAAGCTGTTGGTTCCTCCTTTGCTCTAGAATCTAGATGGGTTCTCATCTTCCTGAACCTCCGGCCTCAGAGTGTGTGAGGAGGGAGGGAAAGCCTGGGCTGGATGCAGGGAGCACCACTATTGATCAACCTTGGCCCAGGAGGCCTCACTCCTGCCCTGTTCCTGCCCTGCCCCGGGGAACTGCCACCTCTCCTTCCCCCTGCCCTGTAGGCCGCCTTCCTCGGGGCAAGAGAGCAGTGGCGAGCAGTTTGCTCAGCACATCCAGAGTCTCTCCAACAGAAATGAACTTCTGCTCAACTTGTCCTCAAGTCTACTTTGAAAATCAAAATAAACAATTTGGGTTAATAGTCAAATGTGCCAGAACACAAACAAAAAAGTCCCATTTTGTAAAACAGAGTGAACTCTAACCTTCTGAGAATTTTGGTTCTCCTATATGAAATGTCTTTTGTTGTTTGAAGATACATTCTCATGTGATTTTTTTCATGTTACAAAAAGGATTTTCTGAAGCTCAATATACTTTATTCTAATTAATACTCTAAACTGAAAAGATGACGCTCAGTGTAGAATTATAGCTAGAGTTTTAAAAACATTTATGAGCAAAAACTATAGGATTTACTATATAAACAAGCTCATTTAATGCATCATGTTAATGACATAGCTATAAATACAAGTTAGATAAAAAGCCTTGATTGGGTTTGTTTTACTCTATTCTGCCGATGCAGCTTTACTTGCACATGATAAGAACACTTTAGTCAGAAAGCACATTGGACACCAGGACCACGCCAGCAACCTGCTCCAGTGAAATAGCAAACAAATATCAGCCCAGCCGCTTGCCTTATGGGCAAAATAATAAATAAATACTGAATATTTCTTCTACTTACCATTGAAAATTTAACAAGAAGAGATATCCTTTGTACTATACTTCCAAAAAGGAAACAACCTTTTTTTTTTAAAAAACCCACATAAGTTGTTATAATTGTATTGTAATGAACAGTGAGCTCTTTAGCGTGTTCCAGAAATAGCAGTAGACTGATTCCAGCAGTCAAGGTATTTCAACCTTTGGTAATCAATCAGAGGACTGCAAAGGAGTGAATTAGAGGTAACCTAGTACTCTCAACACCACTGATTTGTCATTTATCACAGCAAGTAATACACATGCTGATTGCCCGCCCTCTGGAGGGAGTCTACAATCATCTAGCCAGGCCTGATTTCTAGCTTAGCACCCATTTAAACTGTTGAGGCAATGTAACATTTGCTTTAGAAAACAGAAATGGAAAGGTAAATACACTGAATTCAGGAACCAAATATAAATTCCTTTTGGATTATACACAGTTATGGATTAACAGTATATCCATATAGCTAATCCCCTCCATTAGTGTGGATAATCCAGAATTGAATACAACTATTAACATGTTGAAAGTGGTGATAGTTATTACATGACATTAGTTTCACTAATTCCACCAAAGATGTGTTTCTCTTTGCCAACAATCTTCCCTTTAAGGCCTGTTGTTATACATGCAATTTTGTTTACTTTTTGGGTTTCCTAATTTTAAAAGCATGGATTTAGACCTGATTGTTCATGTTTGGGGAAAGAAGTCCCTAATAATTCTGGCTTGAAGGATAGCTATGTAGTAATTTACTCTATCTCACATTCCCAAAGATGATCTTTTCTGGCTTTGCCCCTCTCTCCTGCAGCAGCCATCCACTATGAGCTACGCAAGACACATCATTAAGAAGGAAGGTTTGGGACTCCAGGGCCTCAACAAAGGATTTACAGCAACTTTGGGACGTCATGGAGTTTTCAACATGGTTTATTTTGGCTTCTACTATAATGTCAAAAACATTATTCCTGTCAATAAGGTAACTACTTAATCTATTAAAATTCTGGAGGGAAAATCTTATCAATGATGATAGCTGCATTTGTGGAGTGTTTATCATGTCCCGGTCACTGTGCTGAACACTTACATCACTTATGTAATGGATCCTCACATCAGCCTTATTCATTCAGTGTTGTTATCCTGTTATGAATTTGGAAATATCAAGTCGTGTACCCGGGATCACATAGTAAATAGCAAAGCAGAGACTTGAACCCAAGTCTGACACCAATCACATTATACCTGAATGTGCCATTGCACATGAATGCTTCACATTTATCACTAATGGGGATTTCTAGAAACTATGTTATTACTTAATTTTTTATCTTAAAAGCATAACGTTCTCAGAAAGTTTAAATATTTGTGTTGTAAATAAATTCTGAGCTCATGAGGAAAATCGTCAGCCTAAAATTGAAATATTACCTAGATCTTAATTGTTAAGTTTGCATAAGTTAATTAAGGCAAGTAGTAAACAAGTTCTTCTAGGATCATTTGCTTTGGAAGCAAAATAATAATAATCATTATTATCTTTTAAATGGTAACTTACAGATGCCAGCAGCCTTTCAACTTCTAGAAGATAAAAATAGTGCACGATATGCTTTAAAATGGGCATCTGTGGGCTTTTGCGAGGAATTTCCCCACCATCGGATTGCCTGCTGGCAATAAAAATTGCGACCCTGAAAGCAGCAGTTGGGGCAACATTTTTCACGTGCAGGTGGCTTCCAGGAGGGGTTCAGGTTTTCATTTAGCTTAGTACAGAAGCATTGAAGGACTTTTTACAAGTCATAAAAATATTCCTAATGTGAAGTTATTTATACCTATCTTTGCCCAGCTACTCCCCATATTCTAGGCCAAGATTTATCGCAAGTATGAGGACAGCTGAATCCAAAGCATGTTCCAAGTTACCCATCTGTGGCATTACCTCACTCACTAGCCAAAGTTGTTAACCAGGTTTCACTGTACTTGGAAATCTCATTTATTGAGTAGAAGCTTGTTTTGTTCATCTGAAATCTATAATTGGCCACGATATAGGTAGGTCCTCCCACTGACTGGCAATTCTGACTCTGGTGGTCCTCAGCTCTTCTTCTCCTGTTGAGTTCAGGAAGTGTAGAAATAGAGTGCGATGAACACTCGGGGCCTGGATGACATGAAAGACTTTGGCTCTTAATATATTAAGATTCTTTTTAGCCAGAATGGGTCAAACAATGTGAGCCTGAGGGAAAAATGAGAATGCAAGGCCCCTTGTTCAACAATTAAAAATTTTCAAGACAACAATGGTAGAGCAATAAACAAAGCATGAGGCTCTTCTAAGAGTAGGCCCTGGTGACTGTTCAAGTTACACACCCAGGAAGCTGACCCTGTCTTTTAGACTCTCAGATGAGTAATCCATACAGCATGGGTCAAATGTCTGGGCCTCCCTTTCTCCAGTTATCCAAAGGCTTGAGATAGAAATTATACACAATGAAATGAATTATATAAATTATTTACATATCCTATATAATAAAGAGGTGATATGCAAATTAACCCTCACACCCTCACAAGATGGCTGCCTATGACCAGGCCGGCAGGGGGGTTAGTGAGGGACAACCAAATGACTGAA